GCAGTTTACAATCGTTTAAAATGAAAATTTTAGTCTTGCAGTAAATTGCACGGTTTTAAGAAATAATTTTCAAATAACTACATCGACATATATTATACGATATTAGTTTAAACTTGTGAGGGGGGCAATAATCCACTTAAGGGTTAAGAGCAATAATAAAGCAGCGATTCGTGACCAAAGACTTTCGAAAGCAAAACTAGTCGGACCGCAAAGGGTTAATCCGGTCGAAAAACAGACCGCCTCCAGTATTTTTAATCGCGGCAGAGAACAGAGACAATCGTATCGCCTCGAGCTCACCGACAGGCCAGACAAAATTAATCGAGACGAACGCTACGCGACATCGATTATCCGACGAGCATCGGTCCCGGATACCGAATTTTCGTTCGTCTTCGCTCCGTGCCTTCCTCGTTGCTTGCAATTATTTCGACAAAATTGGATCCCGCGGCTTCCTCTTTCAACGTCCAAGGATTCTCTTGCAAGGATCTAAGCACGCTCGCTGTTCTTTTACGACTTCTTTTCGATCGATCCAACGACAAAGGTGTGGTGGAATCGAAAAGAAGTCGCGGAGAACGCAGACGTTCGAAAAATACTTGGCACCTCGGTGTTTTCGGCGAGTCGTTAAGAAATTCACGTCGTTTCGTTCAAGCTGCATCGTTCTACGAAACGAATTTCTGGTAAGTTACGCGAATCATAGAGACTTAACGTTTTTTAGAAATCTAGTTTGGGGATCGACGTTAATTTCTCGACAACTGTACGCCTCTGTTCGCGAAATGTACTGCGAGTGGTACTTACAAGTAGAGTGCGCTCGCGACGAATACGGTAAAAACCAGGGAATACGGCAGACACACGTAACAGATGCCGATGGAGCGTAGAATAATGTTGCTAACCACGAGCAAGATCACAGAGTCCAAGACGAGGGCACTGAAACCCATATCACACTACCAGGACATTTTAAATAGTCCCACGGAAAGTCGTCATAGCACCGTCTGACCAGCGATTATGCACAGAGCTCGCAGTCTGCCAACCACGCACGAACGTTCATGGTTTCGTTTTGCAACGTGATTTTCTAAAATAAAAAAAACCCCCGAGAATGGAGAAAATTGTCTCAACGTCCCGATGTGTCGATCGAAAGCAAAAGTCAACGACGACTCGAGCGCGAAATATCATTTCAGATTCATTTTTTGAGCTTTACAAAAATCGATGATTCGGATTTTGGGCATCGAAACGAGCGAGATTCGGCGAGCGGCGGTGAAATTACGAGACCTGGCGAGCTCCGATGCATAAACAGTCGTTGAAAACGAGGAACGAGACACTGGCGATACGTTCATCGATATGTGAACCGAGACAGATCTTCAACGACAGCGAACTGAAGCCGTGCATACGACCGACCGCTAACTACCGTGTCTGCAAAGGCTCGAAGAGTAGTATTGGTCCGACCGATGCTACGTCGTGGTATTTTCAGTGACGTACCGACGTTGTTGACGTTTACTGACTTATTGACGATTTATTGTTTTAATAAATCGGTAAGAAATTCCATCCGTGGGCCGAATTTAAAGGGAACCGCTCCGAAGGAGAAAGTAATTAAAGGAAATTGGAAGACCCGGTGGTAAACACCGTCCGACAGTCGCTGAAAAACCGAGAGCAATAACGTCACGAGCGTAAAGCTGCCGCGACCGAGCATTAGGCTCGTTGTTGGAGGAAAAGCACGGGAAAATGAGAATCCGAACGCGGGGAAAGAAAGGAAGGGGCCAACGACGAGCAACGACGAGCCTGCCTCAAAGGCAACGGTTTACAATACAAACGCTTAAAAGGCTTCAGAAAGCTTGTAACCACTGAGAAGAAGTATCACGGCTGAATGAAGGATACCGTTAAAAAAATGGGCTTGTGGGAAACATACTTAGGTAACGCTGAATTAGGGTTTCGCTATCGTTCATGTCTCGCCTTGACGAGAAATTAGGACCGACAACGAACGAGGCGCGAGAATCGTTTACCGGGGACACGTTCCGCGATCAAATAAACGTAATTACGCGTAAAATCCAGTTTACAGCATTTTTCTGAGAAATCGTATTGGGGAAACGAAAGGAAGAAATTAGCAACGTAATGGTCCGTGGTATATTTGAAATAGTTTTCAAGAAACGAAGGGATGGAACTCGAAAAAATTAATTCTCAAATTGAAAAGAATGATTTCTGATTTTGATATACGATCAAGGTGTTTATAGCATTGTTCTGGGAAATTAGCAACGTAACGGTCCGTGGTATATTTGCAATAGTTTTCAAGAAACTCGAAAAGACATGAAAAGGGAATAACCAAGCGTAGAAATACTTTTTGGATCCAAGGGACGATAGGCAACGACGCCCCAATTTGCGTGGTTCCATTTTTCAGCGGATTCGAGACCGCTGGTCGACACTGACGTCGTAAATTCAATCTCGAGGCACAAAGGGCAAATTAAATCTTTGAAGGAACTCCACCCTGTGCCCCTTCTGCCTTATATTTGTGCAAAAAGTCGGTCACGCATCGCGAGGATTGTCGTGGATCGCGACTGTTGCAGCGCGGCCAACTATAGTCGGCCCGTGAAACGCTGTTCCACTTTATACGCCACGATTTGTATTATTAATCCCGCCGTCTCCCGTCGCTTACGCGAGTAACTTCTGTTCAATTTTCAATTATCGGCCATTCTTCGCAGCGAGGAACGCCTCGCGACGTTAATCTCCCGTGGAAATACCGCCTGAGTCGATCAGGTTCGATCAACGGATCCGATCTCGGGGGCTTACGCGGAATTTTAAGCATCAGCGTACCCTCCGGACCGAAATTTTCAAACTTTTCAAATTCGATATTCCCCTCAGATCGCCTTGATAACAGATATATTATAATAAATCGTGTTTCGATGGAGATTCGTCTTAATTATATTACTTTCCATCGTTAATATATTTCTCGTGAAAATCGAGCTTCGTTCGCCGGTGTTCTAATAAAAAATCAAAGCGGAGCACCTTTTCATCTTTTACTCCGGCAACCGCGTTCGATATTGACCTGTCATAAAACGTTCTCCGTCGACATTACCGGTGGACGAGGCTCCCGCGATTTCACGAGAGACGAATTAATTTACAATGCGCCCAGGGTATTTTCCAACGATCTTTACGTCCTCGCGGTTCTCAATCGCGCGACTCCGTCAACGAGAACAATTAAAAAGTAGAACTGTAAACGGTCGATTCGAAGTTAAAAAAGATTTTTCGGCCGACCAGCGATGGCTCATTCATATTTATCGAACGGTCTGGCGTTCCAATTACCGAACCCTGTAACTGACTGAGAATGTTCGATCGATCGTGCGATTGGAGACTCTTGGTTGCAGGTACCGTCATCCTATTCTTGTCTGGCCTTATACGTATGCAGGCGATCGCGCGCGCACGTGTGTACAAGCGGAGTTGGAGGGTGTGGTGCGCTCGATGCGCGACTTATGATATTTAATAGCGATTAAATCGCATTAAACTTTCTTACGATTCTGGAAATAAAAGTATCGACTTTCGGATTCGATGCAGGGAACGAGAGCAACGAATACCAAACGATCAAAATTCCAACTACCAACAGGTGTATATATATTTAACTAAATATTGTCGACGCTTTACATTCCATTGGTACACAATATCTGGTCCCTACAATACCTATATTCACGCTCTCCAAGGACCACAACAGAAATTTTTATAGATATTCTCGTAATTACGATTACGTTCTAACCAAATTTAGCTGACTTACTCTTTGTTAACATCATTGAAATGTTCAGACTTCCAGAATACTCGTTTTGAATTATTTCACATAGAACACCATCGAACCCTCACTCACGCGAATACTGAATCATCATTCTTTACTTGATATCTTTTTGTAATTATTCACAGTCAGTCTCATACTTCGTATCATTCGATCTTCGTTACGTAACTATACTTGCATCTCTTTCTGTATTAATGTGTATTTAATCAGTAAAAATCGGAATATCGATATCGAGTCCGTGCTCGTCCAGCATACTCGCACTCGATCCAAGCGTGAATTCGTACGAAACGAATCCGCCAACGGATTTAATTAATTAACCAGTTTAGCGCCGAAGTATTAATTATCAAACGTATTCGCCGCCGGCGAGGGCGGATGACGCACGTTTCTCATTTGCACGCGTCGACTGCAGTGCGTGTCGACCCTCGTGGCGCGTTCATGCACCCTCCGTCTGCGCCGACCATAATCGCGCGCGTAAAAATCATCCGTCCAACACACACGTGCACAATCTTACTGAAAACAACGCATGCAATTTGGATCAAATAAGCTTGATCTTCTCGGAGCAACACAGGATGGTCCCAAACGCGTTTATTGCCGCAAAACACCGAAAGAAAAACTTTCAAACGTCGCGAGTAAAAATCGTCTGCAAAAAATAGGTGTAAAATGGGGGGGAAAATTGTAGGTATTTCGTGAGATTCGTTCGTGGAGCGTTTCTCTCAGCGCGAAGGGGTTGAAAGGGACTAGGGGAGGAACGAAGGCCAGGTTCCGGAGCGTTTCGATTCCGATTTCCTGCGTTTCCTCGCACGTTTCACGGACGGAAGCCAATTCTCTTTCGGCTCGACACATCGAACTAAGCATTCCAGGTACTCGTCGCGATGGAGAAGAGAACGTTCGCCCCTTCCCCCGGGTCCACGCTACCGGTAATCGAGTAGTGCGTGAAAGCTTTATCGTCCAAGGTGCAAGGCTCTTCATTCCGTTTCATTCCATTCCATTGCATCGCATTCCAAGCCTCGAAAGCATCGGGAGAGAGCGACGAGACCCAATATTCCGCTCTTTTTCTTTTTTTTTTTTTATTTGATTTTTTTTTCGTTCGTCGTGCCCGTCGTTCCGATCGAGAGTAACGCTCGCCCTCGATACCGTATTCTATCCACGATGCGCACAGGTATCGCGAGGCGTTCTATTATCCGTATTTCGTTTGACTTTCGTCGCATTTTGTTCGTGACAGGGGCACAACCAGTAAAGCGGTCCAACATCGAACATCGCAAGCTTGTGTGTATGTTTTTTTAATGCCTCGTGCTGATGGATATATGTCGGGGGATGTCGGGGAGGTCTGTGTCCGGCGCCCAAGGCCACGGTGTGGTACATACAAAGCCTCTGTGAACATTGTGCATTCGCGATCAGTGGAAGCTGCGTGAAAAAGGCTGGAAGACACACGTCTTCCGGACGGGAGTTCGGGACAGGGCCACGGATCATGCTTCGGCCGTGTTCGTCGTGCATTCCGCCCTCGAGAGAGATCTTCGTACGAATCGAAAATCGCATGCGGAACAACGGAAATCGAATCGTATCGCGATTAGGGAAGTTTCGCGGAAATTCCAGGGGAAAATTCGATCGATGAGCGGACCGTGCTGTAAAGTCGCGCTGTTACGCGACCGATAGAGATCGATGAGACATTTCTAGAGGCGATTGTGTATGCGTGAAGCGTGGCAGATTGTCGGGAAAATACGTGAGTCGAAGCGGGCAACGTGTTTCCCCCGGAAACGTAATTATCGCATCGTCGTGCACGTGGGTTTTCCAGTTACGATTCTCGAAGGCGGATAGTCACCGGCGATTTCCGACGACGCGGCCGAATATTCGCGATCGGGAGCAAGCGGAGCCGCCGTTAATTATTCAGAGACACCGATTATAGAATTTCAAGCCGAATTCGGCGGACGGTCAACGACCGACGATCGGAACCGCGGCTCTGCTCGCGAACACACGAAGGATCGGAGGGTTGCAGCTTGTGGGTTACGAGGCAGTACATGAAAACAAGGTTTAGGCAGGTAGAAAACGTTCGGGCCGAGTCGCGAGACACTCCGTTTGCTTTTTATACGAATTGGTTGACACGAATCGAACCTTGAAGTCTTTCAATAGACACGAGTTCTGTCAAGGAGCGTTTTTACCCTCAAGCACACAAGGCCTTTGGAAGTAGCCTTACAAGATAGTAGCCTTTGTTCTTGTTTAGAAATACTGAGATCGCAACCTTAAAAGTAGGGCTGAGAGACCCATTTGTGTTTATTATCGCAGAATCGAGGAAATGATAAACTATGAATCACAAAAGTTTAAAACATTTAAAAATTTGTATTCCCAACAATGAATCTTTTTTTTTTACTCTTCTATACGTTTGCGTTATAAAAGTACACTACCCCATTAAAGGTTAAATCTTTGGCGTATCGATTAAGAAAAAAAGACGCTCGAATCCCTGCAGTACAAGCGATCGAAGATGGGCCATGACAGACCCAGTTGCGTCTCCAAGTATTTGATGATGTGTGCCCGAGGGTCGAGGGTGTATGGTCGCGTGACTCGGCCCGGCGTGGATCAGCCGGGTACAGGTGGTATCCGATCAGACGTATAATATATAAGAAAGACAAGGTAGAGAGGCAAGAGAAGAACTCACCGTCTCGTCTTAACGCGACGATAACGGCGATAGTCGTTGGCGTTGACGTCGTTGGGGTCGAAGCCCCTTCGGTGCTTGGGCGGCGAGGACATGGTCGCAGCAGCCTTGGTACCGTCCAAGACCGCGTTCGGCGTCCCGGTGGTATTGTTGATGCCGAATGCAGCGCAGCTGTTGACGGCGATGTGCAGCGAGGCGAGAGGCGGCGGCGAAGGCGGCAACTGGGCGGGGACGAGGCCGGATGCCGAGATCGCGCGTTCCGGAGTCGAGTGACACCGACAGCCCTGCGATGCTGGCGCTGCTGGCTCGCCGATTACGAGGGTCCGATCCCCGTGACCGACGTGGCTCTTTGGCACCGCGTTCAGCTCGTGCCTGCTAACCCTACCAGCTCCCGGCCCACCCATTCAAATCCTCGATTGTCGCCCGTTCTCACTCCACCTCTATCGCTCTGCCTCCGTGGCTGTGCTCCTCTCGATCTCGCGCCTTCTCACTCTCTCTTCCTCTATCCCTCTATCCGTCTCCGTCTTCGTCTCCGTCCCCTTCTCTGTCCCTCTTCCTCTTCGTCCTTCCTCCAGCTGCCGTCCAATGTCCTGCGGACGCGGCACAACTCGTTCACGGAACCGTCCAGCGGTCCTCTCGACTCCTCTCGACCTCATGCACCCTCCACTATCCTTACACGTTACGACAAACCACGTACACCACTGTCGAGCCACCCATTCGCCGCCAACGACTCACGCACGTGCGATCTCATTCGTTACGAAAATATCTGACGAGCCCGTGAATGGGGAAACGAGGGTGGCGTGCGTGAGGAGCGATCACCGAGACAGAGAGGCGGGAACCAGAGAAACCTGACAACGTGCACCGTCTACACCAATGTCCAAACACCGTCTCTTCCTTCCGTTCCGCGACCACGCCGACTCACTCCGCGCACCACCACGAATACTCTCGCCCTACGCGATTTCGTTGGATACCGCCCGGTGGCAGCACCGGAGAACGCGACGCCGGAAAGAACCAGGTGCAAAATCACCTTTCCTTACAAACGTCTTCCGATCGAACGGAAAGCCCCGACTTTACTTCCTCGCGGGCGCACCGCCAACGCGTCTCCGGGATCTACGAAATACGCCGGATCCAAAACAACCTTATTTTTCACCCCACGGTGTCCACGGTGTTCAGATTTTTCGATCGAAAACGGGGGTGGATCTCAAATTATTGCTCTCGTTGCTTCGTCCCTGCGCGAAAACGATTTCACCTAGGGCCTACGAGAGCTCGAACGCGGTCCTGGGTTTCGTAACTGCGTTACCTATGGAGTCTACCGACCGGTGACCATGCAGTTCGTTTTCCATAGTGGAATATGGAACAGTGGGTTCCGATGCAACCAGAAAGTGCACTCTAAAAACCCTAGCGCCTCGTTTCCCCGAACAATCTCCATTTTCGAAACGTGGAATGAAACTTTGCCTTGCCTCGTTGTTAAAGATTCTCGGGGGTTCGGAAGGTTAATGATACGCTTTGATCCCCCGTTAATAGCGTTTGAATTTGATTAGAAAGTTGTTTCCGTAAAGGAGACGGGTTCGAAGAATAAGAGGGATCCAACGTGGTTGAAAAGAGCAATTCGATACCGATCGGATTGAACGAAGATACCAAGTTGAAGTGGCGCGCGCATCCGATCAAGGAATCGCTCGATGTCGCGTCCCGTGTGTCCTTAATGAGGTTCGAGTCAGCTTCAGGAAATACCAACGGAATTCTGATAAGGACTAAACGATGTTCGCGAATCCGCGAAACCGTGCCAACTTTACTCAATTAGTTATCCGCGAATTCGACACCATCCTCCCCTGATCGCTAATCGTCCCACGAGATCGATTAATTTTCATTACGTTTCAAACTCGAATAAATACCGACGCGTTAAAACAGATACGGTTAAACGTAATTATAGAAAGCGATGGACGTGGACGGGTGGATTGAAAGATTGAATTAAAAAGTAGGGTAATATTGACGCGACCTTGAAACGTTGAAAGTTCGCGGAGAGGCATGCAGCGAATATTTGCGAAGAAGCGAAATCTTGAGAGATTTAAACTGTACACGGATAGTTTTGCTTTCTCCCTCCGGAGACGACTGAAATATTTAATCGTTAAACACGTGAACTAGCCGTCGGGCGGTGGGAGGTGGGCGATTCGAACATCCATTTACACCTGGCCTCGCGCAGACACACGGTGAAGCGATTAACCGCCATCCGCGCCTTTCTCCACCCCCTAAACGAAAATAAACTCGGTTCCGAGGGGCACCGCGCGGTGGCAGCACCGAAAAGAAGACACGAGACGGATAGAATATAGCATTAAGTCTACTATGAGAGGCACCAGTACATATTCAAGTTCCAGCCTAGATGCAGTCGAACGTGGAGACGGTATAAGTATCAGCTATTCGCCAACACGCGAACGCTGCTTCTATTTCGTCACATTCTTATGGATCGTGCATACTTTTTCCTTCGAAAACGAGGTAAGGAAAGTTTTGTCTCGAGCCAGGCGATTGATGCTCCAAAGGGGTACTCTATAAATTAATTCGAGCACTCTAAAAATCTAGACCAATTAGACCCCCTTTAATGCCTACGACCGACTCGATACCAAGTTACCAAGATCGTTTTGCAAACGGATTAATTCGAGCGAAAGGAACCGTACCGCCGATGGAGGGGATGCAGAGCGAATATGTAAAAACATTGAAGCGTGAATGGTAGCCCTCTCGAGTGGCGAGGTTAAGAGGCCAGGGCCGAATTCGGTATACGTTTTACAATCAACTAAACGCAGCCCTGGAACGAGCGCCGTAAAACCCGTTTCTTGTCTTGTGCCAACAAGGACATCGCTTTGCATACGATTCGAGTGCGCCTCGAGGATTTTACTACGTCCCTTCCGGCCGACAATACCGCCGCGGCAATCTCGGACGCAAGCAGTGCATTCAACGACATCCTAAGGGGTCCCGACAATACGCGCTGCTATTCGCGTTCGAATGTATGCACCACAGAGAAGTATCCAAGTAATAACCGACAGAGTACCAGCAGCCAACATCGCGACCCAAAAGTTGCACAAAGGAGCTCGACTCCTTGCTATACTCGAGACGATTGCACCGCGAGACAAGTAACGAAGCGCGCGGGAGAAAAGTTGTAGTTGGGAAGGTCCGGGAGAAAGCGAACTATCGCGACGGTGAGAGTGGTCGTGGTTGGCACCGTTAGAGAGGGCTGGCGAACGTCCAGTCTGGTCCGCTCGAATTCCCATCGTCTGGAAGACGTATGACCACGTAAACACCACTGTTTTACTTTCGCGGAGATCGTTCACCGTCGCTGTTTGGGTTTTGCGTCTGTTTTCCCAGAAAAAGGCACCTTTCGTTGCTCTTGGGACCAAGAAAGATGACAACGATTCGTCGCTGCAGTTTCACCGTTCGTTTCGCGAAAAATAGGGGTCGGTTCCGCTTTGTTCGCTGCTCGTTTTCGATGTTCACTTTGGAAGAAACGAGAACGAAAAGAATATACTCTTTGCCGTGGACGAATCGTCCGGGACGATCGTTCGAAACGATGAGGTGTAAATTCGGTTGGGGTGCTTGGTTTCCCGCCGAAACTTGTTTTCCCGCGTGGTGGAAGGACGGTCCGCGAGATGGCGGGGGCGTAGCGCGCCACGAGCGCGGGTCAATACCAGAAAACGAAGAAAGGATCCAGTTTCGTCGGCACGCTAACCTCGATTCCGAGCGCGCTGCTCCTGCGCGCCGGCTCTTAATAGTTCTCTTGCACTCGATCGGGGAAATTTCGAAATCGATGCGCGCCATGTGCCCTTGAACTGGACGATTCGAACCGTTACAGAGGCTGAAAACTGTTACGCCAGTTATGCGGCGATATACCAGGCGTGTTCGACCAGTGGTTAACCACTTTGAGGGCCATTTTGCAAGCAAATCGAATATATAGAAATTGCATTTATGACTTTTTTACTCGTACAATTTTCAAAGTTGTTTTTTTTTTAATGGAACACTCGAATATTGTTTGAACGGTTGTTGAAAATTGGAAAAAACACCTTTAATGCGATAAAAACGGTTCTCGTATCTATCGTATACAGTTCCCGCTCGAATATTGGTACCTTTTGATCTTTTCCATTGCACCTCTATACATATATTCATACCATAAACGGACGGGTGAACCGCATTCATAACGTAAACTTCTCCGAACTCTCGATCCTCTACACATACGATATCGTACGTTTATAGGACAATAAAAGTATAAATTGCAATAACTGTGCTCGCTTTCCGGTAAAATTATGCACGTGTTGGAGGTTTCGATAAAAGTGCGTAACATAGTCTTTGGTACGCGTGTAATTTTGTTAATTTTATAAGGGTGAATTAATTTTAACCCGAATATAGTTTCCAAGATATGGGTTTTGATGTATGTCTGACCATATACGGTCTATTTTCCCTTGCTACATGTCTGACCATATACGATCTACTTTCCCTTGCTACTCCTCGTTCTCCAAAGCTACGAGCCTATCGTAACTCGCTGTATTTTGACTGCATCGTTCAACAAGAATACTCACAATAATAACGTATATTTTAAAATAAAACACCTGCTACGTACGATGGAGAAATTACCGGAACACAGAGTTGATTTTGCAGGACATTTATCCAACACGAAATTACTGTTGTTTTACCCCTCGCCCGGCATTTCCATCATTCAATCGGATTCCGTCGAAACGCAAATTCTAATCGCGACGATATAGAACGACACGAGGCGGTGATTATTTTCGGATATCGAGGGAAATCGAGGGCCTTTCGCATTTAAATCTCTCCCCGCGCGGGTCACCGGTTCCGAACGACAAGCGTGATCGAATCGCCAATTAATTTCGCTCGCGTTATTCGCGCGTTCGTTTTAAACAAGAGCCACGACCGATCGAGCGATAACACGACAGGCTGAAATAATACTTTAGAAATTCGCGAGCCGACTAGCGGCTGCTGAGATTGATTGTTCTTTGCAGCCCACTTTGGAAACGAGGTTTCGAAGTCAACGACACACGGTGGTGTTTGGTCACGATCCTCTGGAAATTCCCGCCAAAATTTCGTCGAACACGCGCGACGTATCCTCGAGTTTCAAATTGAAAGGGAAGTAGTTCGAACGATGGGGAACGATTTGCCAGAGTTTGGAAGATCCTTTGGACGGGGCAAGGTCCGAAACAAGGGTTTCTGGGTCTCGAGGGACCCGTCCAAACGACACGAATCGTGGTTAGAAGATCCTAGAGAGGAGGATAGTTCAATTTGCAACGCACTCTGAGATGAAGATGGCTCGACAACACTCATACCAATAACAGTCAAACTCGGTGGGATCCGCGGTCTTCTACCCACCCGTGGTCACGTGACCGAGCGATCAACGTTCGGATTAAGATGC